GTCCAAGTTCTGAAATTAAGGACTGGAGCCAAATGATCTCAACAGCAGAGGTAGCCACAGCTTTGTACTCCGCTTCTGTACTGGACCGAGCCACTGTTTTCTGTTTCTTTGAGCTCCAAGAGATCAAGTGTTTGCCCAAATAAACACAATATCCTCCAGTAGATTTCCTATCATCTGGGCACCCTGCCCAATCTGCATCAGAGTAGGCTTGAAGGTGGAAAGAGGACTGTGAGGAGAAAAAGAGACCAATATTGATGGTTCCATTCAAGTAACGTAAAATTCGTTTGACTGCAGTCCAATGGGGGCAGCTTAGGTGTGTGCATGAATTAACACACCTTGTTTACTGCAAATCCAATGTCGAGCTAGTGAGAGACAGATACTATAAACCGCCAACAATACTTCTAAAGAGAATAACATCATCAAAAGATGGAGAATCAAACTGGGATAGTCTTAAGGAAGCAGCTATAGGTGATGAGGCTGGCTTAGAATTCAGCATCTGACTTCTAGATAGGAGATCCTTGATGTACTTCCTCTGAGACATTAGAATACCAGTGGACAAATAATTTACCTCCAGTCCAAGAAAGTATGACAGGGCCCCTAAGTCTTTAACAGGAAATGTTGTACTTAAATCCCGAACAAAGGTATCAATGGTAGAGGCCTTAGAGGCAGTGATGATAAAATCATCAACATACACAAGGAGATAGATGTGCAAATCACCAGAGTTAAGAACAAACAAAGATGCATCGATTTTTGAAGCAATAAATCTATAGAAAAGCAGCCATGAGCTGAGCTGAGCAAACCAGGCCCTAGGGGCATGTTTCAGGCCATAAAGTGCTTTATGCAATTTGCACACGTGTAGGGAACATAGGGTTGATAAAACCTTGGGGTTGTTGCATATATACTTGGTCATGAAGAGTACCATGTAGGAACGCGTTTTGAATGTCAACTTGCCGAAGTGACCACCCTCGAGTAGTAGCAATGGAGAGTATGAGTCGTACGGTGGGGGCCTTGACTACAGGACTGAAGGTTTCCTTAAAATCCAGACCCTGTTGCTGGTGATAACCCTTAGCTACGAGACGTGCTTTCCTTCTTTCAATAGATCCATCTGCCAGTAATTTGGTCCTGTAGACCCATTTGCAACCAAGCACATTAAGGGAGGCATCAAATGGAACTAAGGACCAGGTTTCATTCTGAATTAGAGCATCATATTCTTGTTTCATGGCATGTTGCCATTCGGTGTGCTTGCGAGCTATAGAGTAAGAGTTGGGATTTTTAGGGACTGGAACGTGGTGCTAAAACAAGCTCGAGAAGGATATGGAATGGTACCATCCATACGAACACGAGGACGTGAGGAGTTAGTGTGTGAACGGGTCATTATAGGAGAACGAGGAGGGATGACAATGGGGTTTTCAGAGGAATTGAGAGTTGCAGAGTTAGGTATTTGAAAGGGATTGGTGATTTCAAAGGTATCGAGTATGGAAGAGACTGTCAAAGGCTGATTAGAGGTTGGGCTTGGGCCAGGGCCAAGAATTGATTGAGGAAAAAGTGGAAGGTGGACCTGTGAAGAAATAGGTGTACTGGGTTGGGAGCTGGACTCAATATTTGGTGAGCTAGCGGACTGCGAGAAAGGAAACGAAGTCTCGTGAAAGAAGACATCATGAGAAATGTAAACTCTGTGGGTTTTCATGTCCAGACATTTATATCCCTTATGAGTGCTGCTATACCGAAGAAAAAGACAAGGAGATGAACGATAATTATATTTATGTTTGTTATACGGACGAAGATTAGGAAAACATAGGCAACCAAACACTTTGAAAAATTCATAATCAGGGTGACGTTTGAAAACATGGAAAAATGGAGATTTATTTTGAGTATTTTTTGATGGTAATCGATTGATAAGATAGACGGCTGTTTCAAAAGCGTCGGCCCAAAAATAAGATGGGAGATTGGCATGGGCCAATAGTGCAAGTCCAGTTTCAACGATATGTCGATGCTTTCGTTCCCCATTTTGTTGGTGGGTATGTGGACACGAGAATTGGTGATTAATACCAATTTTTTGACATAAGGGAGTTAAGGGTTTTAATTCTCCACCTCCGTCCGTTTGCAAGATAATAAGCTTTGTATTAAATAAACGCTCAATTAAAGATTAAAAAAAAGGGGAAATTTGAGCAATATCAGTCTTGTATTTTAAGGGATAAAACCAGGTAAAGTTAGTAAATTTGTCTACAAATGAAAGGTAATATTTGAAACCTAATCTAGAAGGAAATGGAGCTGGGCCCCATATGTTTGCACACACAAGTTCTAGAGGCTTAGTAGCCTCAGCCCGTGAGGATGAGAAGCCCAATTGGTGAAGCTTAGCCAAGGGACAGTTAACACAAGAGAAGGTTGAGTTGGTGGGGAGTAACTTCAAGCAGTTGGTGCGCAGGAGATTTGAGACAACAGACTGATGAGGATGACCAAGGCGAAAGTGCCACTGAGCCATGGAGGTACTTTCTCCAATGTTAGCAGATGGGAAAGAGGTAGAAGGAGACGAAGATGTAGGAATGGTGGGGAACACGTACAGTCCATTACCGACCGGACCTGCGAGGAGGGAGATCCCTGTCTTAGTATCCTTTACAGTAAAGAAATCAGAGTGAAATTCAAAAAAGCATAGATTATCACGACAAATTGAGAAACAGAGATGAGATTTTTGGTTATTCTAAGAAGATGAAGAAGATTTCGAAGTAAAAATGAAGAGAAATGAGTTGGGAGAGAGGAGTCAACCGTGTGATGAATAGACAGACCGGAACCATCTCCTACGTGAATCTGATCAACACCACTGTAAGGTTCAGAGGATAGGTTGAGATGAGAGAAGTCATTAGGGATGTGGTGGGTTGCGCCTGAATCTGGGTACCAAGTTGACGCTGAGCCATTGTTGGGGCTGGTGAAATTGTCTGAAAAAGTGGGAGGAGTAGCATACTGATAGCTGTGATCAAATCAGTATCGACATTGGAAGGCGTCATGTCCATATTTTTTCAAACTTGACAAGTAGGGCAATTATTGAAGGACCCATGGGAGAGTGGAGCAGCAGATCCATTGCGGCCACCAGGGTTAGAATATGGTGGTCTGCCACGGCCATTTCCATTTCTGCCATGACCACCTCCTCTGTAGTTGCCCCGTGTTCGTCCACTAGATTGTGTAAAATTGACAAAGGGCTCACTGGAGAGTATACTCCGTGAGGAATGAGGGAGACGGACTTTCATGTATAAGGAGCAATTGATAAAGTTCAGTAGAGGTGATGGGGTTCTGCCCGTGTAGTAATAGATGTAACAAAGGAGTCATATGCAGGGCCAAGTCCGGTGAGAAGGTAAGTCACAAAGTCTAGCTCAGGGAGGGGATTACCAGTGGTAGCTAGAGTATCAGCAAGAGATCTAACCTTCCCAAAGTAGTCGGTGATGGATTGCTCACCACGGGAAAGATTGGCCAACTGAAAACGTACTTGGAACTGCTTGGCCTGAGATTGATGGGAAAACAAAGAGTGAAGGGCTTGCCATAAAGCACGAGAGTTCTTGGAAGAGAGGACATGACCCAGTCCTATTTCAGAGATGGAAGAGAAAAGGATACTAAGAACTAATTTGTCCGTTTTCTTCCAAGAGGCAAAAGCTGGATTAGGGGAGAACACATCAGCATCGGTAGTGGAAATGGTTTCGGGTGGAGTGACAAGTGTGCCATCGATGTATTGATATAGGTCCTGACCTTGGAGGTAAGCTGTAATCTGAACTTTCCAAAGTGGGAAATTATCAGTAGTCAGCTTAGTGGTGATAAGATGAGGGAATGATGACATAGCAGAGGAGAGGGATTAGGAGAGGAAGGAAAAAAAAATAGAAGGGGATAAGATCATAGATCAGGGACGATGAGTCAGGAGGCTCTGATACCATAATAGAATTTCATATTTGGCTGAATTCAGAAGCACTTTTCTATTTCATTGATGAGTGAATTTATGCACAAATGTAAGGAATAAAAAACAGTTATGACTGGAGAGAAAATATAACAATTTCTTCTACTGTTACTACTCAGCATTCTGTACAATTATGCTACGGTTCAGGTGCTATATTTGTTGCTGATGTGTCCATTTCTTCTTTTGATGAGTTGGCAGAGTGCTTTGTATTGATAAACATTGATGAGAGGAAATTTATTGTTTTATATACTATATTTTTAATATTTTAAAAAAATGAGGATTAAAATGAAAGAAGTTTTAAATTCCTATCTTATTTAAGCCAAATAACTATGTATCGATAGAGTGATAAAAGTTAATATTGATAATGATTATCTTTTGTGATTTAGATAGAGTTTGATTTCAATCTTAATTTGATAAAGTTAAANAAATGTTGATTTTGATCATGATAATATATCTTTTCGTGATTTGGATAGAGTTTGATTGTAATCTTAATTTGATAAAGTTTAAAAGTAATCATAATTTTATATTTTGAAATAAATTCTTAACCAAATTTCTTGTATGCGTCGTTTTAAATTATAGTTGCGTACAAACTCAATTGAGTATTTCAACTATAAATACAGTAGGAATTCTCATTATTTCACCACAAATAATAAGGAGAGCCACGGTAGAGAGAGAATGTGAGGAAAAAGTATAGAAAAATAGAAAATCTTTTACGTGCAAGATTTTATTCTTTCTAACATTTTAAAAATTAAGGTAAGATACTTCTGTGCAAATGGTTTGTTTACTTATACTTTCATATTCAGTAATTTATGCATGAATTGTTAGTTGACTTTCGAGTTCTTTATTAAGAGATAATAGATTCTATGAGAATTTAAGATGACCTAAGATGGGTATGTCCTCGATCACCGATATACTGCATAAGATAAGAGTGGTATGAAGTGTTTATTTTATTGTTATATAATTGTGTATGATAACTGCACGTATTTTACTGGATATTTTTAAATACTTACTCTTACAAAATTTTACAGGTTAGTTCAGGTCGATTAAGACTGTGGTGGGATGGTGATGCGGACTGTCGGAGGAATTAAAGAATAAAAACATAAAAAAAATCCTTTAATTTATTAGTTAGTTTTAATTGTTCAAAAGCACGTTGTTTAATTAGTGATAATATTATTTTCTTAACGATACAATTTCCATGTTTAGTTTAAATTTATGGATATTCTAGTCATATTTTTTTATTAAAGAATATTATTTTACAGTTCCACATTTGATACAAAGAAAAGTGAATTTTTGGTAACACTTCAAGGTTTCTGAAATTTTGGAGTGTTACAATTACCCTTTAGATTTTGATTGCCATGTATGAAATTTAGGGTTGGACAAAATTGACGAATCGGACCGAATCGAGCGGTTCTTTTTAAATTAAATACTCGAAATGGTATTTGAATTGAAAATCGACGGGTTCAGTTCAGTTCTTGGTTCTAGACTAAGAACTGAATAAGAATAAAATCTCCCTATCTTAAATAAATCAAATTATTTTATTTTTTAAAATAAATTTGCTAACTTATGATTTAGTTAGAGGTGTCAAGACGGGCGGGCCGATCATGCACCGTGAAAACCGGCCCGTGAAAATCGGGACCGCGGGCCGACCCGTGACCCGTGCGGGCGG